TCTTCACATTGCTGGAGAATTTGCCAGACGCCTCCCATATCAGAGGAGGCACTCCAGAGGACAACGTCATCAACGCCTTACCCGCCGCGCTCTCTCCTCTCTTCGCATCGTTGTCTCCTGAGCTCTTCGACACCGCCCTCGAAAAGCTCTCTTCATTCGTATCAACACACGTTGTCCACCAGGCGAGGGATGCCATGGCGTGGATCCTCAACGCCCTGTGCAAGGTCAATCCCGAAAAGACGCTCAAGGTTTTCATTCCGATGCTCATCGTCAACATTCGCAACGAGATCGACTACAACCACGCTGCTTCCGACAGAAGCAGTGGGACAGACTATTTGCCTAGAGACCGCGCCTTGGTCTGGCATGTCAGCATGCTTGGCATGGTTGTCGTTCACGTCGGAAACGAGGTTCTGAAGTACCAGAATGAGCTTCACGACGTTGCCAAGTACATGCAAGAGAAGTGCCGAGGTCTTCCCACGATCCATATTTCCAACTACATTCATCATCTCCTCCTGAACCTGACGCATACCTATCCCATCGATAGCGCTCTTTATGAGCCCGATATCATTAAGCGTGGCCTTGACGTAGGCGACTGGGGCAAGACCACTTCTCCTGCTGACCTGACCATCAAGTGGCACCGGCCCTCGGCTGGAGAGATTCAGTTCGCCGTCGAGCTGTTCGACTCCCAAACCAAGGCAGCCGCGCAGAAGCTGGATTCTTTGATGGGCGAGCATCCACCGGTCAGCCGTAAGGGCAAGAACAAGGAGTGGTCCGACGAGGTTTCAAGACTGCTGCAGCAGATTCGCTTGGTGATATCTGGTGTTGCGACTCTCTTTGATCCTCATCGTGCGGCCGGCGAGACGGTAGACGGTGCGAAGGAAGACGGTGATGGCGACACCCCGATGGATGACGATGACCCTCTGGCCGAGGCTGCCGAAGATGAGGAGACACGTCCTCAGTACCGGTACGACGCCGGCTATCTTCTCACCGAGGAGGACCCAGCTTACGGCAAGCTGCATGAGTTGAGAGAGGACGTCGGCCAGCTGTTATGCCGCACGCACGATTTTCTCAACCAGAAGCAAGAGGATGACGTGTCTTGCTTCACCGCGCTCTACGCCGCTTACCGCACATGGATCACCGACGTCGGTATCGAGCGCTCTGCCCACCCGTTGGAGAGACACCTTCGCTTGTACAAGTCGGACATCTCAGCCTTCAAGATTAGCGGTCTTCGCAAGGTCTACCCGCGTCCTCTACTGATCAAGCGTGCAGACGCGTACCAGCTGCTGCGAGTTAAGCACAATGCCTCCGCAAGGCAGAAGAGCGAGCTGGACAGGAAGCTACTTCTGAACCTAGCCCAGTCGTCCGTGTCTTCGTACGCCGACGTCAGGCGGGTAGCACAAAGCGCTTTGGATTCGTCCCTCAAGGCTCTCATCGGCGGTCGCCCCCTCGTCATCCCGGTCCTTATCGAGAGGCTTCGCGTCGCCCTGGACGAGATCGACCATGATCGCATCAAGGGTGCCATGTATACTCTCTTCTTCACTAGTCTACTGAGGACCATCGTCAAAGACTGGCGGTTTGCCCCGGAGGCCCTTCGACTTTACTTAAAGGCAGGCACTATCGACAAGCCCAGCATCCAGCAGCTGGGCGCCACTGCGCTGTTCCCCCTATTGGATTTCGGAAAGCCATTCGAGCGGATGATCATCGTCAATCAGGACCTTGTGGAGCAGATCCGTCCTACGGAAGACTGCTCTCGCCCCATTGACAACCGCCACAACTTCATTGTCCAGCGTCGCGAACGTGTCGAAAAGAAGAAGGCGGCCTTGGGCTTGGAGCTGGTCGATATGGCCAAGGAGGCGCACTGGAAGATTGCCTCCCGATGCGTGATATTTGCTACCAACTTGTGCCTACGCTTCGACACCTTGGCACCCCCAGAGTTCATCAAATTGGTCGCGCAAGGCACGAACGATACCCACCCTGGGCTTCGGGCTAGTTACACGTCCGCCTTCACCTCCGTGTTCGAGGCCGTCGAGATGCGCGCCGCGTATGACCACGACTACCGCAACTACCTGTTGGAGAAGGAGAAGGATCGGAATAAACTGGCGATAGAGGTGAAGAAGGGCGACAAGGACTTTACCGACCGCTATCTCGCGGCCTTCGCTGATTCCGATCCCAACAAGGCTGAATACATGGTGGACTCCGACCATCCCGGATGGCTTGTGTGGGGCAAAAAGTTCCTCGCCTCTCGTGCGAAGCCCGACCCCTTTACCGACTACGACGAGCGAGAGGCCGCCGTGCGGTCGCAAATCGGCAAAATGCTGACGCGCGACTGGTTGAAGACCTGCTTCGACTACCTCAAGCAAGAGCCCCGCGACGCGGGCGCCGATCGGTTCCGTATGGGCAACGTATACATGCTCATGCACGTATTCGACCTAATGCACTACGGAGGGACGGAGATCACGCTGGACGACGTCAAGGAACTCACTACGGACGTATACGGCGACGGCAGTGATAAGCACCAGCACCGGGCGACATCAGAGATACTGGCGGCACTGATGGCCGGGTCTAGTGACGACCCCCTCGAATTCCGTGATAAAGTGTGGGGCTTCGCCGCTACGTTGATGTTGAAGATTCTCAACGAGGACCTGACGCCGGAGAACCTGCAGTACTGGGTCTCCTGCCTGCATCTGACAGTAGATCCGAAGGACCCTCGTCGATCTCACGAGTTGGTCGATACCCTTAGTGCTTTCAGGCTGGATATGTCGTCCAATGCCGCGTTCAAGGAGTCGAGCAAGGTGCAAGTGCTCGAGTTTATTATCACTGACGCTGGCTGGCACTTCCGTCACGAGAAACCGATTCTCGAAGACTTTTTGGCTCATATCGACCACCCGTACAAGACGGTCCGTGAGGCAATGGGTCGGGTCATCGCTACCATCTACCGCACCAGGTACCACGAATCGTTCGAGAACGTCGACCGTTTGCTGGAGGCAAACAAGGAGGCCTCGTCTCTGGGAATTCGCCCTTACAAGTGCACCGAGGAGTTCGACGCTACCATGCGCGAGATCTTCGATCGACTCGAGAAGTGGCGTAAAGAGCGTACGCCCGGACAGCAAACGCCGTCTTCCTACACCTCCGGATCGAAGACCGTCTTGACTTGGCTGGACAGTACGCTTTCGTCTCAGGAGTGTACTCAGCTGATGCCCTTCTTCCCGGAGCCTTACATGGAGCAGCTCCTCCACATGATGGATGTCAAAGAAGACCCCGAGCTTATGCGTCTCGCCTATCATGTCTACCGTCACCTGCCCAACATTCCTTTCCGCGTAGGCGAAGATGGTCCCTTCATTGATGCTCTGGTCAGGATTGGCAAGTCTGCGACCAGCTGGCACCAGCGGTTGAGATCCATGGTCAACATGCAAGTCATCTACTTCCGTCGCTTGTTCCTCATCGAGAAGAAGCAGCGTGACATCTTGTTTGATGCTGTCAGTGACATGCTGGCTGATGCGCAGCTTGAAGTGCGATCTTGCGCTTCTGCCACTTTGGCCGGCATGATCAGGTGCTCGCCGAAGCGCATCCGCGATCCTACCATTCAGCTTCTGAAGAAGCGCTACGAGAACGAGTTGCGTCTCAACCCCATGCCGAAGCGGAAGCTCCCAGGCACCGAGACGCCGGTCGACACCACCAAGCAGATCGTTCGCAGGCATGCGGCTGTCCTTGGTCTGGGTGCGCTCATCGAAGCATTCCCGTACGCCACTCCTCCGCCGTCCTGGATGCCCGAGGTTCTGCAAATTCTGGCGACTCGTGCAGCTAGCGACCCGGGAGTCGTCGGTAAAGCCACCAAGGCAATTCTTTCCGACTTCAAGAAGACCAGACAGGACAGCTGGAGCGTGGATCAGAAGGTACGTCGGCACGTCACATGTTATTTCATACACCAAGCTAACAGTTGCATGCAGTACTTCACTCAGGAACAGCTTGAGGACCTGGAGGGTGTGTTGTGGAAGAGCTACTTTGCCTAATATGGCGCTGGACGAAGACGACGGGCGACAACGCCGGACGAAGACGCCGGACGAAGACGCCGGACGAAGGTGCCGGACGAAGGTGCCAGACGACCAAAGACGGGCGAGGACAACGAGAGAGACGACGGCGAGGATTACGACGATAGAGGCAACGAAGCATACTTGAACAGCAGGCCTTTCCGTCGTAGTCGTGTAAAGTGGGCTTGGTCATTCATAGATGTACGGTTATGAAGGCATGCGTGGACGATGATATCCAACTGGGTTGCATGGCTCTATTAGACGGGGTCAACGGATGGATTCTGGGATAAAGAGAGTGTATATTGGTGAGCTAGTTTCATAGCTCATACATCGTTTCTGCCATTGGACTTTGACGAAGCTCGGGTGATCACTGTGTGGAGAGTTCCGCGGCGACGCAACGTCAGGCAACTCGCGTGGATTTCTCCGGCTAGTTTGCCCAGTTTGCAGCTTATTTCGGAAGGTTATCGTGAACTTTATTTTGAGGGAAGCCAACGTTCTGGAACAAGCTGATGCATTCAGACCGGGGCCCCATTTACGATTCACGCGAGGCCGCCCTCTGATTGCTGGCCTTATATGAAGATGCGCGCAGCGACAGGGAAAGAGCTCTCGCCGACGCCGTTGTCAAAGTTTCAGGGACCCAGTTCAGACGTCTGAGACGTGTACCGGCGGGGTGGCGCGGCCGGGGGGGAATGACTCGGCGCGCGCGTGTGAAGCGCAGTGTCGTACCGGATTGCGGGTCGTTCTGCCGGAACGAGTGAGGCGGGGCCCTCAGCTGTCGGCGCCTCTTGTCATGACTTGACTCGACTTTGTTGACGATGTATAAAACGGATGAACTGGGACCTTGAGAGACGGTTGGTTCATCTCAAGTTCATCCAGCCTCTTCATTCAGTCTTCTACACTACAGCGTTGATCGCCCAGTTTTTGTTTACTTTGCTCCAAAGCCTTGTTTGAATCATATACCCAACCAGCAAAATGAAGTTCACGATTGTTGCCACGAGCGTCTTCGTCGCTCTCGCTTCCGCGCAGGCCTCGACATTTCTGTGCAGAGACATTAGCAACAACGTGATGACGGATGGAAGTATTTGCACCGGCGCCGGTGGAAAGGACTTCGGCAGGGGAGTAAGTTATCATCTGACTTGAAGAAGGAAATGTAGGGGGAGAGATGCTAACTTGGGATTAGATCTGCTGTATCGCCAAGTCGAACGCTCTGGCGCAGAGCCGATTTGATATTAACTGCGACGATAAGCTGGGTACTACACAGAACACCGGCGAGGCTTGCGAGCTCTAGAGTGGATGTGAACCAGAAAGGGAGGATGGGGTCGAGGGGTTGGTGAACAATATACCCGGTTGAGATTGAATGCTTGCGCACGTGAAGATGGTGATTATGATTGTGATTGTGATTGTGGAATGTGAATTGTATAATGGGTGAGCGTTCTGGCTTTCATCATCAGAAACAAATCGAGTTTGCCGACGATGCACTTGGACGTAATCGACCAGAGTCGTGGTATCCGGACGGAGCTCCAGCGTATTTGCATATTGGGTACATTCGTCGTGTCTATGACTTTTATCATTCCCGCTGCCTTAGATGTTCTAGTCGTTCGAGCTGCACCTCGTCGTCCCGATCGCCTACATAAGTGGCCCGCCAGCTGGAGACATGAATATTCGGCCCCACAATCGCGGATGCGCTCCGGCGAGCATCTTAAGATGCAGCGGATGTCGCAGGAACTCGGAGGAGGTGCACCGAGCAGGGACATGGCACCCCGGCATTGGATGTAAAAGCCTCATCAAATCAATCTTCGCGCTTGTGGTTGTTGTCGCGGTTGTTCATCTGCTGGATTGAGAGCACGTCATTGAATTACGAGAGCAGCGGCACGGCTTCCGAGTGGGTGATGACCGGCCCGAACCGATTCAGCCGGCGATGTTGGATTTGAAGCGCGGCATCGCTCAACTGATCAAGCTCTTGCGCCATATCAACTGGTGTTTGCGTTTTGGGCTCATTGGGATTAGCCAAGGGTTTCCTGCTTAAAAGCTGAGACGAAAGCTTCGAGGATTTCGGCCATATTCACATTCACAAAACATCAACCCCTCGTCTTCCATTGAAACGTGGGAAAGTCTTGAATCTAAGAAAAGTTATAGGATGAAGCTCACTCCGGGGGTCGCATGCCTCAGCTTGGCCTCTCTTGCAGCCGCTGACTGGCGCTTCCGGTCCCGCCCCGAACTTGCCGCCCCGAGACTCAACATTACGGTTCCGGCCGACCGCAATGTCGTGGAGAAGGGCTTCATCTTCGTGGCGCCCTACGAGGGTTTCGAAGAAGGTCACCGTGGTCCAGTCCAGCCAGGAGCTTACATCTTTCGAGACGATGGAGAGTTAGTCTGGTCCGGCATAGGACACCATTCCGGATGGGTCGCGAACTTCCGCCCCGATACTTGGAACGGGAAGCCGTACTTGCGTGCGTTTCAAGGATCGCTTGATGGAAAGCACGGTAGGATGTTTGGCTACCACACGCTCCTTGGGCCCGACTATGAAGTCGCCAAGGTGGTCAAGGTCGGATCGCACCGGCTCGTCTCGGCGCACGAGTTCCGGCTCGTTGACGGGAAGACGGCCTTGGTGGAGACGCCGATCCCGCGAACCGTGTCGTTGAAGCCATGGGGAGGGACTGCGGAGCAGAATTGGATCCTCTCAGGGGGTTTTCAAGGTACGCTTTCCTCCGTTTTATGTCAGTCTGCTGCTAATCATTCTTATAGAGATTGACATTGACACCGGGGACGTCATTTTTGAATGGGAGAGTTTTGACCACGTTGATCCCAAGTGTGAGTGATTGAACACCCGGGGTCGGTTGGTTACCTATGGCTTACTCTTCTCAGATAGCGCTTTCCCGCTCGACTTTGGAGCCGGTCTGCCTGGAAGTGGCAAAAGTGAAACGGATGCTTGGAACTATTTCCACATCAATAGCGTCGACAAGGATGAGGAAGGAAACTATCTCATGTCGGCAAGAAATGTCGCGGCGGTCTTCAAGATCAACGGAACCAGCGGCGAGATCATCTGGCAGCTCGGAGGCTTCCATGGAGGTTCCTCATTCGCGCTAGCCAATGAAGACGTGTTCGGCTACCAACACCACGCGCGATTTCGCAGTCGTTCCGCAGATGGAAAGATCGAGATCATCTCTCTGTTTGACAACGGGGCCCACTCGGCGCCTCAAAAGACCAACGCGTTCTCACGGGGTCGTATCTATAAGCTGAACCACACCGACGGTACTGCGAAAGCGATTCAGACGTACGATGCTCCAGATGACCTGTCGGCGCACACGCAGGGCAGCTTGCAAGTTTTGCCAAACGATAATGTTTTTATCAACTGGGGCCAGTCCGGTGCGGTGACGGAGTTCAGCCATGAGGGCAAGGTCTTGTTCCACGCGGACCTTGACTCGGCTCCGGAGGGTATCTTTACGCAGAGCTATCGTGGCTTCAGATACAACTGGACCGGAACACCTGCTGAGGAACCTGCCATTGTGGCTTTCAAGGGTGTCCAAGATGGTGACTTGGATGTTTACGTCTCGTGGAACGGGGATACGGAGGCTGCTTCGTGGAGGGTCTACGTCCGCTCTGCAGCGGGCTCCAGGGAAGATTTCCTGGGTGAAGTCGACCGTGACGGCTTCGAGACTCACGCCACGTTTCGCGAAGTAGATGTATCTGAAGGTATAGCAGTCATTGCGGAGGCTGTTGACAAAGATGGCAGAGCGCTAAGAAAGACGACGCCTGCCCCGATTTCCCTCGACTTGGCTCATCCGCCTTCTGAGCCGAAGTGGAGGAGTGACGAACTGTGAAGCCTTTCAATCCAATTAGAGAACACAGCAAGACGCTTCAGGTGCCTTGGTTGGAAATTCAACGCAGAACACGGATCTTGCAAACGTGTCACGGAAATGTAATTGGAATGATTTGCGTCAGGCAAGGAGAGATTAGAATATGAAAAGAAATCTTATCTCATGGCGAGGGAGTACTGAGAGGTAGCGAAGCGGTCGGTGCTTCAAATGGTTTCCGAGATATGCTGTCCCATAATTCGGAGCATCTACTTGGCCTCCCCGTGCGGAGAGGAGGATTCAAACCTTGAACATTTCCAAGGCGGCTCTGCTGGGCGCGATCATAGCTTCCATGCCAAGTTGAACATCGAGCCAGATTCCATCTTGTGTTGAGGCGCTTCGGTCAACTCCCGAGCACCAAGAAGTCTTGGAGTCTTGGAGATCTTGGCCCGCCATCTTGGCCCGCCCGCCGCGCTCCTCCCCTCCAACCATTCTTAGGCTTCATTTGACGAATTTGCCGCCAAATGTTGAAATCCTCCCTGTTCCCGACTTTCAGGTCGGTCGAGGCGTCGGATATTTTGCCATCTTGGTCTTTGAGAAGCCATGTATGGTCAAATTTCAGCGGCTCTGCGAGATGCACGCCGAGCCCGCCCAGACCCTAGAACGGCTTCGCGATGGAGACTGCACTTGGACGAACCCGCTGTAGCTAGATGCTTGCAAGAGAATCAACGACTGATTAACCTCGGATGATGGGAAGATATCGGAAAAGAAATCAGTGGGGAGGCGGGCTTGGTAGACGATCACTTTCATATTGAATTGGTTGGCAAGTCGACATCCACGTTCGAAAAGACCCCATCTGCTGAGAATGCTAGCGTGGAGCATCTCAAATCTGGAGGCGGGGTCTGGGGAAAATGAGGAGGGTTGAAGCGGAGAGATATGGGGAGACGGGGCAATGCGAAGCGAGATCCAGCCTCAACGGATGCTGTTGTTCAACTGTTTTTCCTCGTCTACTTTTCCATCCCTTTCTTTATAAGAAGCTTCTTGCGTTCTTATTTTCTTTGATCTGACTTTATTCTATGATTTATCTCATTCTTCATTCCTGTCAATATCAGTTCCTTTGCAAGATATGGTTGCCGAAGAAAAGCCCTCCCAACATACTGGAGGCACCGCCCCCCCGGGTGCCGTCGAGGCAAACCGCCCAGATGAGGTCAACAAAGAACCGTCAATCGTCGAGGCAAATGATGGGGACGGAAAGGGGGAGCTTCTGCCTTCTCCAGAGGAGCAGATCGACGCTTTGGGCATCCCAAACTGGAGAGAGCTGGAGAAGCAGGTCGTCAAACGCCTTGACATGACTCTAATGCCTTGCCTCTGGGTCTTGTATCTTTTCAACTACTTGGACCGTGCCTCCATCGCGTAAGTCCCAAGACCCCTAGCATAATGGTTCATCATTTGGCTTCAAGCTGACGCACATCGAATCATAGACAGGCTAGACTCAGTAGCCTTGACGAGGACTTGGATCTGAAAGGGTACCAATACGGCACTGCAGTCTCGATTCTAAGTGTTGGGTCAGTTTATTGTACCTCGCAGAACCTCTTTAAATGCTAATGAATTGGTAGCTACGTTCTTGGCCAGATCCCTTCGAACATGATCATTGGAAAGGTGCGGCCTAGCCTGTACCTCTGCTGCATGGCGCTGGTCTGGTCTAGCGTCTCCGCTGCCACTTGTGGTGTGAAGAACTACCAAGGGCTTATTGCCGTGAGATTCTTTTTAGGAGTGGTCGAGGCACCGCTGTTTCCTGGTGTACGTATGAATTCGATCTTGACAGTTGCTATGACTAATGATATCGGTTCCAGGCAATTTATGTCATGTCTTGCTGGTACACAAGGAAGGAGATGGCGCTTAGATGTGCCCTTCTATACACTGGCCAGACACTCGCATTTTGCACCGCAGGACTCATTGCTGCCGCGGTCTTCGGCACGCTTGAAGGGTCGTACGGCTTGGCTGGATGGCAGTGGCTTTTCATCGTCCTCGCGTCCACTGGCGCAGGACTTGCCATGATCGCCCTGTTCATTCTGCCCGACTATCCAGACTCCACAACTGGTAGTGCTCGATGGTCAATGACTGAGGACATGCGCAAAGTCGCCGCTGCTCGCATTCTTGCCGATCGAGTTTCCACCGCGGAGGCGAAGACTGGTGTATGGCACGGACTGAAGATGAGTGTCTTCGATTACAAGATGTGGCTTCTCGTCGGCATGAACATCGGCATCTCGGCTGCCTACGGGTTCTCCAACTTCTTCCCATCAATCGTTCGTGGATTTGGCTACAACAACACGATCACTCTGGTGCTCACGGCGCCCCCATACATCTTCGCCGCCGCTGGATCCCTGGTCAATGCCTGGCACTCCGACAAGACTAAGGAGCGTGGATACCACTTTGCGGGTCCTATTGCGTTTGGGTGTATCGGCTACATCATTTGCCTCGCCACCGAGAACCGGAACGCCCGTTATGGTGCCTCTTTCATCTACGTTGGCGGCATGTACTTCGCCAACCCCTTGATCAGCACCTGGACTTCCAATACGATGGGCAGAACCCCTGAGAAACGTGCAATTTCCGTTGCCCTCGTCAACGTTTTGGGTCAAATCGGAAATCTGATCGCTCCCTACTTCTTTGTCGACTCTGACGAGCCTCGGTATCGTTTGGCGTTCATCATGATGATGGTCATGGGCTTGATCGCCTGCGTGAGCGCAATGGGTCTGAAGCTCTACCTGCATCGATCCAACAAGAAGCTGTACCGCACAGCGATAAGGAATGGGACGGCTTATCAGCCATATGTTATGTAACGCTTGGGATTCCTCGTAGTCATTGGGTTTGACAAAGTATACGGGCATACGCATTTGCAGGAGCCAAGGACATCTCGTCACCTAAGAACAGTAGGTCCTGATTGTAGTTTGCGAAGTATTGCTACAAAATATGCTAGCACGCTGTTTCGATTGACAGGAAATGAGAAATGAGAACATGGCCAATGTTCAATATGGAGATTGGATCCAATAGATCTTTCTTTCGTTCAGGATGCTTCCAAACGGCGGGTTGGCTCCGCAACTCTAATTTAAACTCTGGCTTGGACACCATCCCGAAATAAGCCTCAATGTTCGCAACCACAAGTCAACAAGGAGGAGTAGAGGGCCGACCAGGCTGCGAGATAGAGTCACAAATGTATTGGCGAAACAATTATCCCCGTCTGTTCATTGTCTTGTCTGAGGTTCTGCTTGAGTATTGTGATCTTTGTGGATGCCTACGTAATCTGTTCGCCCCTACCCCTTTTGCCCGCCAAATGCACTCTGAAATGGCGGTCACCCAAACCGCCAAATAATAGCCTTTTCCCACGAATGTATTCAGTTCCATTTGGCGGTTTGAGACGGGTAGACCTGTTATTCATGGTTAGCCTCCAGACCAACGGCATTGTGCATAGAAACTTATAAGTCCAGAAAGCTCAGAGGAACTTATATCCGATAGGTGCTGAAGCTTGAAATGTGCTTGGTACCAACGCTAGCGTACACTCTTTCCCAGCGTCGACGTAGTATCCTACGACGGCACCACCAGTGCCCTTGAGTAGTACGATAGTTCGCGTTTCACTAGTGCTTTTGATGCGCACGGTACCGGCATTGTTACAACCAGGAGCGGAGAAATAGGCGGCGATGGTAGATTCAGAACAGGACGTTACGCCATCTGTGGTCGTACACGACCCAGACCTGGGAGTATACCATTTGGAGTGATCGACGGAAGGGTCAACGACAGTGCAAGTGGTAGTTTGAGCTGCAGACGCAACGATGAAGGCGCTTATGGACAGGATAGTGAGTCTCATGGCTGGAACAGAGTCGAAGAGCTTTTTGAGTTGTGAATTATGTTGCGGGAGTGTAATAATGATGATGATGATGATGGTGGTGATGATGACAACGGAGTAAGACTCATATTTCTGGAAGTATTCCTGGCTTTATATAGCAGTAAATCATAGCAAAGACGTTAATGTTGCTGTTGAACATCGATACGGCAGTGGTGACTTGTTTGGCCTCATGTGTTCCTCTGGTGTGACTTCACTCCTGCAGTCGACTATTGATGTGATCTATCATCTTGCACTTTCATTGCCAAAAGTTTGAGCCTAGAATTCTACAGATCTGATTTGTGGCAATACTTTGATGAGCTGGTGTCAAGGGCACAATGGGGTCAGAACGGGCCGTACCGAACTCTTCTCGGAGTCTATTCAAACGCCGCATCCAATGGGATGATGGTTGATTATTCCAGCGCCCCCACCTTTAGAGCCAAGACACCGATCCAGCTGTACAAAAGGGCGACGTATTCAGCGGCAGCAGACTTATCATGTGTTCTTTGCAAATCGAAAATGGATGGTCCTTTCACCCGTGGCATCCCGCCGGCTCGCGCGCGCCTGAAGTCATTGGCATTGACCGGGGTGATTCCGTAGCTCTGCAGCTCCCAGAAGCTCTTCATGCGTACATGTATTCACAACGTGGAAGTAGGTATGACACCGAAGATTTTCGCGTTGATGCAAGGAGGCTTTGCGGGCTCGGGCGGTCGACGAAGGTGGCCATAGGAGTTGAAATAGCGTCTCGACAAGCGCTAGAGAATTTTCTCCAGATATGCAGTTTGAAATCGAACCCTACTCATGAGCATTCGAGCTTGGGCAGCGAGTCTGCTTCAATTTATAGTGACTCGATGACAAGGGCACTCACGCAGGATTACCAACGAAGGGAATAAACGCTCAAGCCTGTGGGAGACGCTATCTAAGTCCCGACAAGTATAGTGGAAGGATGACACATACAAGATGCCATTACTTCGAGCACCTCTTCGGCCGAGATACGACCCATAGTTTGACATCCCGCCGGCATCTGCATGTCTGCCCGTGGGCTGCATCGCGGGACTCCTCGTGTGTGTTGTCAAGTTGTTGGTGGAACGATTTATAATTCAAGTTAGATATGGTAAACCATACTTTGGAACTGTAAGACCAAAGTTAGATTCTTGAAATACTTCTGGAGCATCAATCTGCCGGTATGTAGGAGTTTATGTCCTGTATTTGTGAATTATGAATTATTGTAGAAACTTATATAAGGCTGTCTCGGTCCCTACCAATTTGGTCATTCCTTCCCCATCAACCTCATTGTTACAAACTCTCCCAAGACATAATTGAATCACCTTTCGGTACTTCTGGCTCAATCTTTGTTCACTTTTCAATATGAGAGCCGATATTTTCACTCTTGCTGTCTTAGCTAGCACAGCTATTGCCCAGGACGCACTGACCTGCCGAGTCATCGATCCCATTGAGTCGCGTACCAACTGGTTCACCGTTGAGTCTGGCAACTGTGAGACCTCGGGTACTCTCGATACCTGTGGTCCGTCCGGAAGCTCAATTCAGAGCTTCTTTTCTTTTCTTTCCCAGGCTGCAATCTAGCCGGCGCTTTGCGCATCAAGAACCACGCTTCGGTTAATGCCATCACCCAGCTCAAGGGTATTGGTGGTTCTTGGGTGGCATACTCTCTTTCAGCGGGCGAAGAGTGCACGACAAACCTCGGCTTGAGCCGTGTGGCTAGCTACACCAACTTTCGCTACAGCAGGTACGAATTGTCTTCCATCTAGGTATTGTGTGTCTAGAGACTGACAAGAAGTGCGAACAGGGCGGACGCAGTGAACGCGACGTCCACCTGAGTCCGAATTAGGATTGGATTCTTCACGTGGACGAGAGAGAAAAGAGGGATTGGGGGCTGTGAGGTTCCGTACCTGGTCATAGTGGTGAGAGAAAATAACAGAACGTGTGTCCTGTGATACGAGACATAATCATGGAGTGATGCGTAAATAAATAGTACGTTGTATTGGGTCCTGATGTCGTCGCTATTCTTCGCTGTGTTTTTGAGGCATTGTTGATTCTAAATGCACTGCCTGTTACCTGCCATCGCTGGGTCAATATATACTATGCTCCTCACTGAAGGCTGTCAAACACTCCGATCAGTTCCATTGCTGAAGCAGGTGACGTAATCTAAGGTGTCTGCAAATATCGTGGCGCTTATTCAAAGTCGCCGGATCGATAAATAAGACTTTGCGTTCGAAAATCCGATTTCTGTGTTGTTTTGATACCGCTTCCCACGTTGATGTGACCCAGTTGGGTATTTCTACATGCAAAGTCACATATATCGTGAGTTCAGCTTTCTCGCCTAGAACAGCATACCTGAACATGAAGCCCTTGTGCACAGCGGCTGCCCAGACTTCCATAGTCCTGAGATGGGGCATGCGCATAGCTGCTTGACTTGCTGCTTGAAGTAGGTTTGCTATGCTGTGTAGACTCAAACATTGGTCAATCTGGCAAGTAAGTACCAAATCGGTGAGTTTGGGCCAGGACACAGCTAGCTGGGTTTGTAGTGAGCTGGAAGAAGCCTCTATCAGCACATTGCAGTGCCTGAAAAAGTCTTTCGCATCGATTGCATGAGATATTGCGAGCCTGTTGAGATAAAAGCTGGCACTCACTGCGGCCGAGGTCAAAATATCATCTGATTTCTTGGCATAGAATCGCTGTTTGTGAAGCCGTTGGGATTGTGTCTCCCATAAAAACACCTCTTTAATGGTCGAATAGTTATTGATCGTTAGGAACAGCATTGCGCTCGCCCTGTTCCTCTCAGCCTGTCCTAGCCGTGTAACTGCAGGCCATGGTTCGTAGTTGATACGCTTGACTTACGGCAGGCTTTGCAGTATGTCTCGCATAGAAATTGCCGATAGGCTGCGATAAAAGGTTTTCCGGATGGAAAATTCTTGAATCACAGGTACCCTAGGAAAATATGATTTGCGGGTACTTCCCACGTGCAGGAGATTTCCGATCAATCGCTCCCTGGCACCTCGAGGAGAATATGTCGGCCGATTGTGAGCTTCACATCTACCGGGATGCTGGTACTGTGAGTCGCTAGGGGAGCTGGCGCTAAGCTCGAGTGTTAAGCCCCCCATCTCCCAACTTGAAAGTGCAGAGAAAAGTGCGGTCAACTGTCTGATGAAACTCGCATCGTTCGAGGTGGCTGTGCGTGCGTCTTCTGGTTGGTCGCAATCGTCACAAGAGTATTCTCTGAGCCATAAGTGGAAGGAGATCTTCTTGACCAGTGTTTTTCGAATGTCTGTTGTATATCGTTTCATCAGAGTACGATCAAGAGTTGACGATTGGAAGTTCAGGGTCTGCCATATTTGCGGTTCGAAAAATGTCTGCCATTGCCGAGATACACTTGCCAATCTGGCTAGGGAATGCTTTCCATGGGCCAAGCTACCGAGCTCTTCCAAGATCATCAGTTGGAGCTCCGGTGGGATTGCCGTCCATCGAATATCCTGTGCCGGATTTCTTCGGAGAGAGGCGTGCTGGGGTAGTTCTACTACTGAACTACATCGCATCGTGAAAGTATGGGGCCACAAATGGGCGGATGTCGGGACTTGAAAACAGGATGGGTTGAACAGGAACAAACAATGCGTAGTGTCAATTACAGAAAGCGGAGAAAGCAGTGGAAAAGAAGTTAGATGGTAAGAAGGTTATACACAGAAAGCACGTGTTCTCCAGGTTCGCATTTGACGTTTATGAGCAAAATCCCCAGGGCCACCCAGCATTAAGCTTTCTGCCATCCAAGTACATATTCAGAGTACGACGCTACTAGGGTACCCGTGAGGAACCCAAGACAATAGACTAGGACTACATTAAAACGACATTCCTTGGTATCCGGAACGAGTTCTACTATTCGAGGGGATACTCGTAGCGTAATACCTTCAGCAGAGAGCCGCATAAAAGTTTTATTTTAGTCTTGTTATT